CTTCCTTTTTCTTATTCCCACTCCACAGTCCCTATAAATCCACCCTTAACTCCGGGGGGCAACGCTTTCCCAGAACATCACACAAATCCACAGCATCTTCTCTCCTCGTTGTTCCACTTCAGGCGCCACCGTCTCTTGCCTGGCCTGTCATTCATTAGTCTGGCCCCCACCCCAGTGGGGTTTTCCATACTGCAGCCAGATTGTGCCAGAATCCTTCACTTAAAAACCTTCATTAGAAGAGCACCTGCCAAACACCTACAGCTAACATCATAGTTAATGGGAAAGACTAAATGTTTTAAGATCAGGAACAGGACAAGAATGTCCACTCTCACCACTTCTTTTTTTTTTTTTAATATATTTTTATTGATTTTTTACAGAGAGGAAGGGAGAAGGATAGAGAATTAGAAACATCGATGGGAGAGAAACATTGATCAGCTGCCTCCTGCACATCTCCTACTGGGGATGTGCCCGCAACCCAGGTACATGCCCTTGACTGGAATCGAACCTGGGACCTTTCAGTCCGCAGGCTGACGCTCTATCCACTGAGCCAAACCGGTTTTGGCATCACTCTCACCACTTCTATTCAATGTTGTACTGAAGGTTCTATCCAGTGCAATTAGGGAAAAAAAGATTTAATTAAAAGCAACTAGATTGGAAAAGAACTAAAACTGTTTTTATTCAGAGATATAAAAAACCATTAGGACTATTAATGACAAGTTCAGCTAGGTCACAAGATATAAGATATTGTATTTCTAGATATCCAAGAAAATTTAAAAATTAAATTAAAAATAATTCTGTATATAATAGCATCAAAAAGAATAAAAATCTTAAGAGAAATGTCCATGTCAAAATGGAGAGGCAAGACAATACATTAAGCTCCCCTTCAACCTAACCCCCCAAATTCTCATGGAAATAACCTAAGGTTTATAAAAAGGGAGACTGTATGTCCATGTTGGAAACTAGGAAAGAGAGAGAAGCCTACATGCTACAATCACTAAGGAATTTCTATAAGGTGCAATACCAGACACCTGATTAACAAAAAGGCTAACTAGACAAGATATTGACAGAGAAATACAGTTGAAGCCCTGGCTGGTGTGCCTCATTTGGTTGGGCGTTGTCCCGCGCACTGACAGGTTGCTGCTTCAATTTCTGGCCAGGGCACATGCCCTGGTTTCGGGCTCAATCCCCAGGAGGGAATTCCGGGGGCAGCCAATCAATGTTTTCCTTTCACATCAACATTTCTCTCTCTTTCCCTTCCTTTTTCTCTAAACAAAAAAATAACACAGTTTAAAATGTGTTCTGAAGTAACTTTAACTACTAGAATAAAAATCACAGAAAAGACAAAGAAAACTTACACTTGAAGACAGAAAAGGAAAGGACATAAGAAAGCTAAAAAGCACAAAGCATTAACTATTATACAATTACACAAAAGAGCAAGTATATCAGTTAGCACAAAAAAATATGAGTGAAATAAACTTTCCAGTTAAAGAATAAAGACTCTCAGGAAAGATTTAAAAATAAAAATCCAATTATATCTTGTACTAAGAAATACACCTAAAACAATGACATAGAAATATTAAAAATAAAGAAAAGTGGCAAACAGGGACTCGATAAATGCAAAACTAAAAGAAAATAAAGGTGGTAATATTATTATAAAAGTAGAAGTTAAGGCAAAAAACCTTTGGGGATAAACATAATTTTTATATTGAAAAATATAATTTGCTCTGAAGATCTAATGCTAAAAATACATGCTGAAGAGTACACCACCAAAATATATAAAATAAAACTGAGAAATAAAAGGATGAATTGACAAAAACAATAGTGAAAATGTAAAATCAACACACTGCTTGTCCTTGACAAATATCATCTAGACCAGCAGTTCTCAACCTGTGGGTCACGACCCTTTGGCGGTCGAACGACCCTTTCTCAGGGGTCGCCTAAGACCATCCTGCATATCAGATATTTACATAACGATTCATAACAGTAGCAGAATTACAGTTATGAAGTAGCAACGAAAATAATTTTATGGTTGGGGTCACAACATGAGGAACTGTATTTAAAGGGCCAGAAGGTTGAGAACCACTGATCTAGACAATAAAGAAGATATTAGAAAAAATGAATAATACTAAAAAGTTTTACCCTTCAACCAAAGAATCTACTTTGGTTTTTTCAAATACTCATAGAACATTTACATAAAAATGATCTTATACTGTGAAAATAAAAGCAACAAATTCTCCAAAGTAGAAATCATAATCCGATTAAAATACAATTCAACTGAATAGTAATTTTTTAAGTATAAAAAAGTTTACTAGAAAGTTTTAGGAAAAATCTCTAGAGTCAAGGAAGGAGCAAAACTGCAATTAGAGATTCTTTCTACAATAATGACTATCCATCAAAATTCATGGGATATGGTCAAAGTTGTACTTAGGGGAAAATGTTTCTTAATGTTTTGATTACCAAACAGGAAATAATGGAAGTAATTCAATTCACAAAACCAGCAAAAGAGCAATATCAGCCTAAGGTGAGTAAGAGAAAAGAATGAATAAAGATAAAAACAGAAATCAATAAGTTAGATAATAGGGAAAGAATAAAATTGATAGCCCTAGAATTGGAACTTTGAAAAGACCCATAAAACAGGCAAACTTCGGCAAGACGAACTGAGTAAAAAGAAAAACACAAATGCACAGGAGCAGGTGCAAGACGGGGGTGTGATCCCAGGTACTGTGGGGATAGGAACGTTTCCTGGGGGAACTGTATGTAATTCTACACGGCTACCCTTGACAATCTCCATAAAATAGATGACTTCCTAGACAAGCATACATAGAGAAACTGACTCCTCAGTAAAAAGAAAGTCTGAGTAGAATAACAACCACGTGAGAACATAAAAGAATTCACAAAGATCCAAGAGTCCCCACCAAACACACTTGCTATCCCCCCTACAGACCCAAAGGAGTGTCATTCCAAAACCCTTCAAGGAGCACATTTTCCATGCTGTTTGGATGGTCCCCCTCTGTGGTCATCTCCCCTCCGAGGGTCCTCCGAGGTGTGGGCACCTCTGCTCCAGGGGAACTGAGAGGCAGAGCTTTCTCTCCAGCCTCCCCCTCGGCTGAGCCTGAATGCCCTAGGCTACTTCTGAAATAAACTGACATGAGCAGATCAGGAAGGTGACACAGAGGAACTCAAGCAAGGATGACCCAGTGAAGGTACAAACCCTGGGAGCCGCCTCTTCCTCAAACATGGCTGGCTGGCGGCATGGGCTAAGCGGGGGCCAGGAACACAATCCAGGGCTCTCCCCTGCCAGGACCACCTCCCAAGGTCATGAAACCCCCACCTTCCAGGCGAGAGCAATCTCCACCTCTGGTGAGTCTTCTAATACTTCACGCAGAGCCAGCAAACCCAAACGTCAGGAAACAGAGGTCTGACTACATGTGTGTGGACCCTGCTTTAAGAGAAAGGAAAGCTGGAATAACCCCAGTAGGCTGAGCTGGAAAGTTTGCTTACAGGGTCCATACCCCAAGCAAGCAGCCCATTAGCCTAATTGGACGTTTTATCTTTTAACATTCATTCAACATCCACCACCAGTCAATGCAGGTGCCCTACATCGTGTCACCTAAGGTCAACATCTAATGTGAGGACTCCCTCCCCTGTGACCTCATCCAGTCTCACGGTCTTAAGCACTACCTAGCACTGATTTCCTTGAACTCTAAACTCACTATTCAAGCCCATTCCTGTCTCTCTCATTAGCATGACCTCTGTGAAGACAGTGGCTTTGTTTTGCTAACAGCTATATTCCCAGCACCCAGGGTCAGTGTCTGGCACATAACATGTGCTCATGAAATATTTGTGGAATGAATAAGGGCAGGGAGGACTCCAGTCCCCTCATCCAAGTTGCACTGAACACCTACTGTGTGCCAAATCCTGCTGAGCCCAAGGGAGATGAAAAAAACCAGTCTGGTCTAAAACAAACTACTCATCCCCAACCTCTGCTGCAGGCTTGGCAGTCTCACCTCTGCACTGCCCAGAAAGGGCAGGTTGCCAGAGAGAAGAGGGCTGGGGGGGAATTGCAAATATTGTCTGTAATCCTGCTCCAGGCATCTTCAACAAAGCCTTGAGGTTAAGGACTTGGCAAGGACCCTTCATTAATTAGCACCCCGAGCTCCCCGGGACTTGGCTGGTTGGCTGGTAAGCCATTAACCCTATGGCTTCCTGGGGAGCCCAAAGCCTGGCAGGCAGGACCAGGACAAGGCTTGCAATGAAGCAGGGCAGACTACCATCAATCAAACCTCAGAGTGGCAACTCTGGAGCCCTTACAGCTGCCCAAGGAAAGTCTGCCCTTTCTGCAGAGGCTGTAGCTCCCATCCCTGCCTCCCTCCTCCATGTGAACCCCCTGCTTGGGAGGCAGCTCAGGGTTACAGGAAAACAGTCTCGCCTTCTCCATGGTTTTCTCTTCCCATCGCCTGCAATGGGGTTTGAGAGAGTGGGATCTTCCCCAAATTTCTGATTCTATACCCATAGCCACGACCACAAGGTTTGTGGCCAAGGCAAAATGCAAAGCAATTTCCAACAAAGTATTAATGGTTTTCAAGTAGAGGATACAAGACACAGCCACTATTATTAGCCTTCAACTCTTATCTGCAGGGTCCAAGGGGGGAAAATTAATTTCTGTGTGTGCAAATAATATACACCAACAGATATTCATATATACACCATACACACCCAAAATCTGGTTTCAAGAAAAAACTTGAATTTCTCTATAATCCTTTTATGTCTTCTGTCGAGTCTTCCCAAATATCCAACTCATCAACCCTGTCCATTGAGCACTTCTAAGCAGGAGAAAGAAACTGGAAAATATAAAGAAACCCCAGAAGTTGCGGGCAGGCCTCATTAAAAGAGAGGGTCTTTGCTGATTGACCATAAACCTTTCACCCAAGTGGGTTCCTCCTCTCAGCAAGCTTGGCCCAGGGCCCAGCTATGTGCTGTGGGGAAGAGGCGGGTGGTACCTGGTTCGCAGGTTCTCTGGCTGTGGTGGGCCATCAAACACCGACAGAACATCGAAGTCCTCCTCCAGGGCGAAGGACTGGAAGACGAGCTGGATCCGGTGCTGGTCCTCTGCGGTGATGGTCCACGTGCAGTTGGCGTAATTGGGGTAGCCGTATGGGAACCCTGGGCTCTCAACTGTCCCATTGGGACCCTGCAGTTGGAACGTGCAGTTCTGGCCTGGGAGAGAGAAAGGGAGCAGTTCAGTGTGGCCTGGAGAACTCCTAGAAGCTTCCAGAGAGACAGGAGCACTGTGTTAGAGAATCATGAACCCGCTTTTCCAAGTGCGTCCTCGATGCCAGCCCCACGCTTGTCACGGGGGGGGGGGGGGGGGGGGAAGACGGGTGGCTGACACTGAGTGTGAGCCTGTTATGCCGCGCACTGTCCAGTGAGCATCACTGTGGCCAAGCCTGAGAACAACTCTGTGAGGTAGGACACTAAGGCTCAGAGAGAGTGGACAATGAAAGGACAACCAGACTAGGCAGCACGTGGAATTCCCCTTTACATTAGATGCCAGAGTGAGGATTTCAACCTTCTGCACCTTCCGCAGCCTCCTGACTCTGCAGGCCCCTCACCTCACCTTCTATCTTCTCTCTCTTCTCACTCTCCATAGAAAATAAAAGCCATCAGTGGGGATCCCGTCTTCCCAATTCCAAACCCATCTAGCCTGCCCTGCGCTGTCTTCCTTCTTCCAAGAGAGGAACCACATCTCCTTCAGTCTTACCATTAAGACAAAAAATGGGGTTCTATGGAAAGTAAGTTCACCGAGTGATCTGATCATAAATTCTTAAATGGACAGGTTATCTTGGGTAGTCCTGCCCCAGGCCTGTAACCTCTTTAATAAAAGGTTTATCTTTGCCTGAAGCAAGCCTTGTCCATTACCTCTGTGCATCTAGGTTAACAGGCCTTTGAAATGCCTCTTTTCAGGCCCCTCAGAAGAAAAAACCACCCTCAAGAGAACGCATATTCTCATTAGCCTATAATCCCATTCCGGCCTGCTTTCTCCTGCCTTCACGCTTTCATATCATCTTCCTTACTTCCCTCCCTAATTCCAAATGCATGAAAGAAGATGCAAACTGTTTTCTAAGTCTGTTGAGATCTTGGTTCCAGGCATATCCTCTGGCTGAAATAAACTTTTGAAAAAATTATCTACAGGTTTGGATGTTCTCATATTGACAACATAATCCTTCCATGTGCTCTTTGGATCCCATCCCTCCCTCCTCTTCACGAACCTTATATATGCTTCTGTCTACCATAGGATATACATGTTTAAGCGTTTCCTCTCCACTGGAACCTTCCCATTTTAAATGTGCTCAAGATTCTATCATTAAGAAAACAATTCCCACTCTACTCCTCATTTCCCACCAGCCTTATCTCTGTCTTCCCCTTCACAGCCAAATTTCTAGAAAACACACCTTTTTACAAGCTTTGTCTCCATTTTCTTACTTCCCACTCACTCTCCAGCCGTCAATTCTGCCTTCTGGTTCCAAACAGGTGTACTGAGGTCACTGAAGGGTGCAGGGGGTCTCTTCAGTCTTCATTTAATAGTGTTCTCTCTCAGCTGCCTCTAACAGTGTTGCTCACATACACCCTCCTTCTGAAAACAGTCCTCCCAGGCCAGAGTCTCAGACTTCATTGTGTGTGTGCACAATACCTGGGGACCAGGCTGAAATGTAGATTCTGAACCACAGCATCTGGGTGGGGCCGGAGTGCCTGCTCCTCTAAGTCACTCTCTGGTGAGGCTTTGATGCTGCTCAGGAACCCCCTCATTGCTGCTCAACAAGAAAAAAATCACTTAAGGTCTATGAGGGTCTCTGCACGGTCCGGCCCCTAGTGACCTCTTAGCCTTGTATCCACTAGTTTCTAGTCAAACCCCACCCTTCTCAGCCGTCTGTACCTGATGCACTCTCTGACTGCACAGCCACAGGACCTTTGCATATGCTATTTTCTCTGCCTTGAACACTCTCCCCTCCCTACTTGGCATATTTATCTTTCAGATCATGGTCAAGTGCCTCTCCTTAACTAGAACAAACCCCCCATTATATGCTCTTGTGACACCATAACATCTCCTTGGTAGCACCTATAATAGAAGCAAATTTCCATGCTTCTGTGTGATTATTTCATAAATATCTATCTCCTTGCCAGGCCATAAGCTCCATGAGAAAGCAGACTATATGGGAGTTTTCCCATTTTTAAAGCCACAAACCAAGCTCAGTACCAGGCACTTGGTAAGTTCTCAATAATTTAACACACTGTATTTGGTTAGACACTCTTCTAACAACTTTACATGTATTGACTTGTTTAATCCTCGCAACAGCTCTATAAGGTGGATACTATAAAAATCATCTCCATTTAACAGGTGAAGAACTAAGGCAAAGATAAATTAAGGGAGGGGGCCCAAGGCCCACTGTTACTCACAGTCGGGATTCAAATGTAAGAAGTCCACCTCAGATCCACCTGCTTAACTATGATGCTAATACAATGACTCAACATTAATTTTTTTTAAAGCCGACATTAGGGATAATTGACAAAGGACAGTTAATCTCTAAAGTGACTAATATTGAAAAAATATGCTGTAACACAAAGCATCCCAGTAAAGAGCAAAAAGTTAAGGTCTTCTGAGTAAATGCTAAATGGGCATTTAATGAAATAAGACATGTAAACCTGATTAAAATAGCATCTGGGACCAGGAGAAAGAATATTTCCTTAACCATCATTTTAGAACAATTACCTACATGGTACTTGTGGTAAAATACCTGATTAAGATCAGGAATGAGATAGAAATGCTACTATCACCTCTGAGATTTCACGCCTTATTGGAAGAGCCAGCCCATGCGACACAAGGAGAGGAAATGAGAAGCAAGCATATGGTTTGCAGATGATATGTTAATATACCCAGAAAACCCAGGAGAATTAATTATAAAGTTATTAGAACTAATAAGAAATTTTAGCTAAGTAGCCAAATGTGAAATAAATAGACAAAATCAATAACATTCCTATTACCAGAGACAGATGAAAATTTAAAGAAAACAGGTATTGTTTATATTAATTACAAAATGCATATAATACATAGAAATAAACTTAATAAGGACTGTGTAGGCACTGTATGAAGATAACTTTTATAGAGGGATAAAAAATTTTGAATAATTGGAGAGACATAGCATAATCTTGAGCGGAAAGACTACTGAAAGGTTAATTTAGAATATTAACCTTTTGAGAAGTTATTGAAAAGTTAATTTATAAGCTGAATGCAAGTCTGACCAAAAGCCTGATGACCTGTTTTAAATTTAGTAAAATGATACCTAAGTTTAACTGGGAACATAGGCATTTACAGACAATGCAGAAATTTTAAAAGGTGGTAAATGGAGTAGCCTTATCCTACCAGGTACTAAACAGAACCAGCAAATGACACTTACGAAAATAGTGTGGAGGTCCAAGAGTGGACAGTCAGAACATGAAATGATATTGCAGAAATAGCTTTAATACACATAAAAACTGAAATATGTGTAAGACAACATTTAAAAATCAATGAGAAAAGAAACACATTTTTGCAGGGTCAACTAATTAACTGCTTGGGAAAAGAATTATCTCCTCGACTCACATCACATACTAAATACATTCCAGATAGAATAAAGAGTTATAAGTTAAAAAGAAGAGGGAACTCTTACCATTTGCAACGGCATGGATGGAACTGGAGAGCATTATGCTAAGTGAAATAAGCCAGTCAATGAAGGAAAAATACCACATGATCTCACTCATTCATGGATAATAAAGACCATTATAAACTTATGAACAAAAATAGATACAGAGGCAGAGCTGCCTCAAACAGACTGTCAAACTGCAGCGGGAAGGCCGGGAAGGGTAGGGGGGCAGAAGGGGGGGGAGGGTAGGAGATCAACCGAAGGACTTACATGCATGCATATAAGCATAACCAATGGACATAAGACACTGGGGGGTAGGGGAGGCCAGGGGATTGTCAAGAGCTGGGGGAAAAAGGAGACATATGTAATACCCTTTGTAACACTTTAAGCAATAATAAATAAATAAATAAATAAATAAATAAATAAATAAGTAAGTAAGTAAGTAAGTTAAAAAGAAACCAAGCCAAAAACACTTAGAAGAGAATATTGGCAAATTATGATCTAACTGTGATTTTCTGAACATAAAAGCTGTGGAAGATACAAGATTGATCATTTTATTCCAAAAAATATTAATGGTTGTATGTCAAAAATAGAAGCAAAATGAAAAGTCATATAAAAATGCTAGCTAGGTAAAAAGCAATATCCTTAATATAGAAAGAATTTTGACGAATCAATAGGAAAACAACAAGCACTGTAACTGAAAAACTGAAGAGGGTCTTGAAGAAGTTAGTTCACAAAAGAAGACATAAGTGCCTCCAGAAACTAGAAATATATTTAACCACAATAACAATGAAATAAAACTTCTATCTCTACAACTTCCAAAGGAGTCCCCTAGTTCACTTCCCTAAACTTTCCCTCACTGCCAGTGACACCAGATCTTCTGGGCTCATGCTCTAAAACCTGCCGGGTGATGTCACTGTATCATGTCACTCATATATTCATTCATTCTTCTAGGTTCGACCCTGGGATGGGCCATGCACCTCAGATCACAAATTAGATATAAACAGATACATGTACAAATCCCATAAGAGCCACACCTTAAAAGCTACCCTCACTCATGTCCTGGACAACCATTGGCACCAACATTCACCACCATCCCAGCATCCCAGACTGCTGCCTTGGCTCAGACTAGCACAGTTCTGCAGTTTCTGATTCAGAATCTGGGTATTAACAGTGAAGAAACAGGTGAAGGCGGTTCAGAACAGAGCCCCAGGGAACACTTTCCATGTACAAGGTATAAGGAAGGTGACAGATAGGGGCAGGGAGGCAGGCAGAATAGTGGGAAGAGAACCAGAGGGAGAAGGTGATCCAATGTGTGGAGCACCCCAGAGAGGCTAAGATGAGGGTTTGGGAGGAGGCCTCTCAGTCTGATGTCTAAACGTTCACTCTAGAAATAAGAACACTGAGAGTGGGAGCTTTGTCCTGGTTCCTACTTCATCCCCAGTGCCTGAATTCAAAAAGTATTTGCTGAATGGATACATGAATTCCAGCAAAGGCAGGTGGCAAGGGAACAGAGACCAGATTATAACAAGTAATGGC